GGCACACGTCAACAATGGGGTTTGGGAAATATGGGATTTGGGAGTACCAAAACAACGTCAGATGTAAGAAGCATTTGGCAGTCTCTTTACATCAATTTTCCCCTGTGTGTCATAACCTTCAGCATGTCACAGAGGGAAATTGGGGCATATGTAGCCAAATAATAAACAAGTATGGAAAATGTCAAAAATTATTGATGAGGTAGAAAATACAAGCTTTCTTCGTGTCTCCAGTGAGTAATGGCTAGCCATTCTTTTCTTTACACTGGACCCATTTAAGATGTATCTATATAAATAAAAATGTAATGTTCGTTTGTGGGTTTAACTCAAAAACCACTGGATGAATTGACACCAAACTTTGACACAATACACCTACTACCCCAAGGAGTTACCATCACTCAAAAAACATGGATTTTGTCATTTGGGAGTTGTAGTTGCTGGTATTTTCAGTTCACCTAGAAAGAAAGAGCATTCTGAACTCCACCAATGATGGAATTGAACCAAACTTGGCACATAGGACTCCCACAACCAACATAAAATTCTGGAAGGGTTTGGTGAGCATTGACTTTGAGTTTGGGAGTCGTAGTTCACCTACATCCGGAGAGCACTATGGACTCAAACAATGATGGATCTGGACCAAACTTGGCACGAATACTCCATATGCCTAAATGTGAACACAGATGGAGTTTGGGGAAAATACACCGTGACATTTGGGAGTTGTAGTTACTGGGATTTATAGTTCACCTACAATCAAAGAGCATTCTGAAGCCCACAAACGATGGAATTGAACCAAACTTGGCACACAGTTCTCCCATGACCAACAGAAAATACTGGAAGGGTTTGGTGGGCCAAATCTCCCACATAGAACCCCCTTGACCAACAGAAAATACTGTGTTTTCTGGTGGTCTTTGGCAATCCTTCTGACACCCCCTCATGACCCCCCCCCCAGAGGTCCCAACCCCCAGGTTGAGAAATGCTGTCTAAGGCCATCCAGTCCAATTCCSTTCACCAGGGCAAGAAAACATAATCAATGCCCTCCTGACAAAGAGCCATAGATATAGATAGATACATATGATTCACAAACACACACACACACACATATATGACAGATAAAATATAGATTTGAAAGGGACCCCTAAAGAAGGACAGTTATATGTTCCATGTTCCAGAGTAGGCAAACCAAACAATCTCTACATCAACACTGACAAAGAAACATCAAGAAATGCTGTTTACCCACAAGCATAAATAAATTACATATATTAGAAACCAGCACTTTCTCATTACTTTATTTTCAAGATCACCAGATTGGACCACAGCAATGCGTGGCAGGGGATGACTTGTTTTTAGATATACATACACACAGATCAAACACACACACAGCTCTCTGTCCATGTACAGATAGTGCCTAATAAATAAATTTTCTCATTAGATACAGTTATACTGTAGAATGAATGCAGGTTGACATCACTTCAACTGTCATGGTTCAATGTTATGAAATCCTGGGAGTTGTAGTTTGGTGAGACACCAGCACTCTTTTCCAAAGACTTTGCCAAAGGCTAAGGACTTTGTAAGGCTACAGCTCCCACTATTTCACGGCACTGACCCACGACAGTTGAAATTGTGTCAAACTACATTCATTCTACAGGTTAGATACAGTCAAGTTCTGTTGGAGGAAACATATGACCACAGAAAAGGACTTCCAAACTCAAAAGCACATCTTTTTGGTTCAATTAATAGTGTTGCAGGTTCAGTATGCAAATTACATTACTATTCTGAAATCACACACAATAACAGAAATACTTATGCATTATATTCTGCAACATTTGCATTTTATATTTCATGACAAGAACCTGCAAAACAGTGACCTGCTCAAGGCTCCTCACCTGATGAGCTCTGGCCAAACTGTATATACTTTATCTATGTGTGTTTGTGTTTTCGAATCTCAGTTTCTGAAAAGTAATCTGACTCTGGTGACATAGTGGGTTAAACCGCTGTTAGTCGCAGCTTCCGCCAACCTAGCAGTTTGAAAACATGCAAATGTGAGTAGATCAATAGGTACCGCTTCGGCGGGAGGGTAATGGCACTCCATGCAGTCATGCTGGTCACATAACCTAGGAAGTGTCTACGGAAAATGCCAGCTCTTCGGCTTAGAAATGGAGATGAGCACCACCCGCCATTGCACCGCTGGGTGCTCCATTGGCAACTGTGAGAAACTGAAAAGTGTAACCCCGGTGTATTGACTAAAGATAAGAAGAAAATGTGCACATTTGCAGACTTTGGAAGTGTGGACATGCAGGAATGAGTAGGTCCACGCAAGTGTGTAAGGGTGTGTTGTGAAAATGTCTCTTCTACAAGAATGCATGCATTTCGGTGTGTGGAATGCACAAGAGGGAATACAACACATTTGCATATGTATTCGCGCCTATGGAAGCAAATGAGTCAGATAGTGGATGTATTTTCCACTGTTGGGCTTCACAAGTGTGTTCAGAGCTTATCTGCGTGTTCACACCAATGCTTTTATTAATTTTAATACACAGTTGCATGTATAGTGTGTTGTGTATTATTAATGTATTTATAACTAACTTGATATGATTTGACTTCTACTACCCTCCAACACATTCCCAAGGCAGCTTGTAAAAAGTTAACAGCGCAATAAAACAATAAGAAACACATTAAAACGAGGGCATGAATCACATACGTTATTTATAGGGAACAGTCATAGTACAATAAAAGTGTTATCTAAGACATATCTGAGACATATATAAACACTTAACTTTGAAATGAGTTCGGTTGCATTTCATCAGATCTTACTTCCACATAATGGCTTGGATTTAGTCCTACCTGATGAATGCATGTCGGTTTATGTACTTTCAAGTCATCTGTTGATTTACAGTGAGTCTCTGAGTTTAGACCCAACTTAGAATTCATCAACTCTAAACAACTAATGCTGTTTGACCCCACTTTAACAGTCATGGCTCAATACTATGGAATCATGGGAGTTGTAGTTTTATAAGGTCTTTAGCCTCTACGGATTGCTAGTGCCTCACCAAACTACACTCCCCAGGATCTCATAGCATTGAGTCACGGCACTCAAACGGCATTAATGCTATAGTACACATGCACCTGATATCCCTACTGATTTCAGTGTATCTAACTTAAATAAGGGCGTATCTACACTGTGTACTGAATGCACTGTGTCTTTACATTGCCATGGCTTGGTGCTATGAAATCATGGGAGTTGTAGTTTGTTGAGACACCAGCACTCTTGAGTTCGAAGGCTCAAGATCATTTAAAATCACAACTCTCTTGATTCCATAGCATTGAACCATGTCAGCGAATGTGAGGTCAAATTCCATTGTGTAGATACACCAAATACTGAAGCACCTATACACCTCCATTAGTGGATCTACATTGCAGAATGAATGCAGTGTGGCCGCATTTTAACTACCATGGCTCAGTGCTATGGAATCATGAGAGCTGTAGTTTTACAAGGTCTTGAGCCTTCTCTTCCAAAGAATGTTAGTGTCTCACCAAACTACAACTCCCAGGTTTCCATAGCATGGAGCCAGTGCAGTTCAAGTGGGGCCAAACTGCATTCGTTCTTCAGTGTAGATGCACTCTGTGTGTGTCTCTCCAGCTGGATCTACACTACCAGTTTCAACTGCATTATATATGGTCGGTGTAGACTCATACCATGCAATTCAATGCATGTATGGTCAAGCGTAGACCAATATCTTTCAACTCAATGCATGTATGGTCAGTGTAGACCAATATCACACAGTTCAATGCATGTATGGTCAAGCGTAGACCAATATAATGCAACTCAATGAATGTATGGTCAAGTGTAGACCAATATCATGCAATCCAATGTATGTATGGTCAGTGTAGACCAATATCACACAGTTCAATGCATATATGGTCAGTATAGACCAATATAACACAGTTCAATGCATGTATTATCAGTGTAGACACATATAATACAACTTAATGCATCTTTGGTCACCTTAGACACATATAATACAACTTAATTCATGTATGGTCAGCGTAGACCAATATCACACAATCCAATGGATATATGGTCAGTGTAGACCAATAAAATGCAATTCAATACATGTATGGTCAGTGTAGACACATATAATGCATCCCAATGCATGTACGGTCAGTTTAAACAAATATCATGCAGTTCAATGCATGTATGGTCAGTGTAGACACACATAATCCAACTCAAGTGTAGACCAATATCATGCAATCCAATGTATGTATGGTCAGTGTAGACCAATATCACACAGTTCAATGCATGTATGGTTGGTGTAGACCAATATCATGTGATCCAATGAATGTATGATCAATGTAGAGTAAACCAATGTAGTGCAGTTCAATGCATGTTTGATCAGTGTAGACATATAATGCAATCCAATGAATATATGGTCAGTGTAGACCCATATAGTGTAGTTCAATGCATGTATGGTCAGTGTAGACCAATGTCATGCAGTTCAATGCATACTTGATCAGTGTAGACTAATATCATACGATCCAATGCATGTATGGTCAATGTAGACCAATATAATATGGTTCAATGCATGTATGGTCAACGTAGACCAATATAATGCGGTTCAATGCATGAATGGTCAGTGTAGACCAATATAATGTGGTTCAATGCATGTATGGTCAGTGTAGACCAATATAGTGTGGTTCAATGCATGTATGGTTAGTGTAGACCCATATAATGCAGTTCAATGCATGTATGCTCAGTGTAGACCAATATCATGCAATTCAATCGCATCTATGATCACTGTAGACCCATATCATGCAATTCACTGCTTGATATAGGTCTGCACTGAACACAGAATGCTTTATTTGGCAGTGTGGATCCAGCCTCTATAAGTAAGTAGTATAGTAAAAAAGAAATCACTGAGTTTCACTTCGGAGGCGCTAGTGGAAAGAAGCTCCCAACAAACCCAACTCTGTTGAAGACTCCAACCCCGACCCCATCCCCTCCTCACCATTTCCACGGCCCGGGGGTCCAGCTGGCTGGGAGGAGCTGGCACAGAAAACTGGATCTTCTTCCTGTCCTTGGGGTCCATTGCAAGAGGCTCAACAAACTCTTCTCTGCTCCGAGGCTAGCGGCGGGTCCTTCGCCTTCTTTTTGCAGCCCTTCTGGGGTCTTGGGGGCTTTTGGGGGTTCCCTGGCACAGAGAGGGCTCCGCGATGCCCCTGGTTGCCAGACTCAGCGCTGCCCGGCGGTGCCCGCTTCTTCCTTTTCGCCGGCAAAAGGCGAGTGATCTTCTGGTGTGCCACCGCCGAGCGCCAGCCTCATTCCTGCCTGGATGCCTTTGGGAGCGATGTGTGGGTAGAAATGGGGCGGAGAGGGGGAGAAGGGGGCAGGGAAGAGGAGGAGGAGGAAGGGAAGTGGTTGCTGGAAGGGGGGCAGAAAGGAGGGGAGAAAATCTGAATTATCTAAGCCTCTTTCCTGCCAGGCAGGTAGAGAAAAACACCTTAGCTTTGCCCTCCTCATTCCAAGCCAAGGGTCTCTTTCATTTCCTCTCAACCATCTGTCTCTTGACTCCCTTCAAAGATGATCAGAGGGTTCTGGAGGATCTGAGACTCAGGGACATCAGATATATCTATTCTACAGGTAGGAAGGTCTTGCTAGGATTGTAAACAAAGCAGTAATAGCCCCATTTCTGGGATTGTAAAGAGCTTATTTATTTATTTACTAGCTGTCCCCTGCCACGTGTTGCTGTGGCCAACATGGGGGTTCTGTGTGGGAGGTTTGGCCCAATTCTATCGTTGGTGGGATTCAGAATGCTCTGTGATTGTAGGTGAACTATAAATCCCAGCAACTACAACTCCCAAATGTCAAGATTCTATTTTCCCCAAACTCCACCAGTGTTCACATTTGGGCATATTGAGTATTTGGAACAACCAGGCACATCTTAACACCTCTCAACAAAAGATTTTCCCAGGCTCAGACAGGCCTTCAAATGCTAATGAAGGTGGTCAGTTGAAACATTCACACCTAGCTCCAGCAGAGAAGAGCTCTTTGCCCCACCCCAGCCATTCCACAGATATATAAACCCATTGTCCTAATTCCAACAGACCTCACTACTCTGAGGATGCTTGCCATAGATGCAGGCGAAACGTCAGGAGAAATGCCTCTAGAACATGGCCCTATAGCCCGAAAAAACCCACAAGAACCTAGTGATTCCAGCCATGAAAGCCTTCGACAATACTTTGCTATTTGTGCCAGATCCATCATTGTTTGAGTCCACAGTGCTCTCTGGATGTAGGTGAACTACAACTCCCAAACTCAAGGTCAATGCCCACCAAACCCTTCCAGTATTTTCTGTTGGTCATGGGAGAACTGTGTGCCAAGTTTGGTTCAATTCCATCGTTGGTGGGGTTCAGAATGCTCTTTGATTGTAGGTGAACTATAAATCCCAGCAACTTCAACTCCCAAATGACAAAATCATTTTTTTGAGTGAAGGACATACATTGGGTTGTTAGGTGTCTTGTGTCCAAATTTGGTGTCAATTCGTCCAGTGGTTTTTGAGTTCTGTTAATCCCACAAACGAACATGACATTTTTATTTATATAGATCATCATCATCATTATTATTACTATGCCACTGAACAAAAACAAACAGACAGACAAAACACAGAATTTCCAAGTTTGGTAGTTGATTAAATGTCCTTTGACCAGTAGCTGGACACTTGGAGTGCCTCTGGTGTTGCCGCAAGGAGGTCCTCCATTGTGCATGTGGCAGGACTCAGGTTGCATTGCAGCAGGTGGTCAGTGGTTTGCTCTTCTCCACACTCGCATGTGTTGGATTCCACTTTGTAGACCCATTTCTTAAGATTGGCTCTGCATTCGTGGTGCCAGAGCGCAGTCTGTTCAGCACCTTCCAAGTCACCCAGTTTTCTGTGTGCCCAGGAGGGAGTCTCTCATTTGGTATCAGCCATTGATTGAGGTTCTGGGTTTGAGCCTGCCACTTTTGGACTCTCGCTTGCTGAGGTGTGATCTACTCACATTTGCATGTTTTCGAACTGCTAGGTTGGCAGAAGCTGGGGCTAACAGTAAGAGGCCACCCTGCTCCCCGGATTCAGTCAACAAGTTCAGCTGCTCAGTGGTTTAACCCATAGATGGCAAATAGTTTTACAATCTGTTGCCGTGAGTTTTCCTGGCTGTCTGGTCATTTTCCAGAAGCATTCTCTCCTGACGTTTTGCCTGTTTTTTGAGTGCTGTTCTTTATTTCTTGTCCTGATTTTAGAGTTTTTTAACTCCAAAAAAACTCTAAAATCAGAACGGTAAATAAAGAACAACACTCAGAAAACAGAGGAATTCCACACCTGAAACAATCAGGGCCAGTTAACACCTCCCAACAAAGGATTCCTCCAGGCAGGAATCAGCCAGGCTTTGAAGCTGCAAGACCATTCAGTGCTTTTCAAAATTCACATGTGCCTCAAGCAGACAAGAATTCTTTCCCCCACCCTGGAACATTCCACAGTTATATAAACCTCACTTGCCTAACTTCCAACAGACCTTACAACCTCTGAGGATGCCTGCAACAGATGTGAGCGAAATGTCAGGAGAAGATGCTTCTGGGACATGGCCAGACAACCCAGAAAAATCACAGCAACCCTGTGATTCTGGTCATGAAAGCCTTCGACAACACAGTTTAACAATCTACTATCAGGCTGAATCTACACTGCCCTACATCCCAGGATTTGATCCCAGATGATCTGCTTTGAACTGGATTATAGGAGTTTACACTGCCAAATAATTTGGGATAAATAGATAATCTGGGATCAAATCCTGGGATATAAGGCAGTGTTGATCCAGCCCCAGTTAATCGGCACGAATGGAGGGTGAAAAGGGAGAAACATGCTGGCCACTGGACTGGCCACGTTGTCCGAATGCCCGATCACTGTCTCCCAAAGCAGTTACTATACTCGCAACTCAAGAACAAAAAACCTAATGTTGGTGGACAGGAAAAGAGATATAAAGATGGGCTCAAAGCCAACCTTAAAAACTGTACCATAGACACCGATAAATGGGAAGCCCTGGCCCTTGTGTGATCTTACTGGAGGTCAGTTGTGACCCGCAGTGCTGTGGAATTTTAAGAGGCAGGAATGGAGAGTGAAAGGGAGAAACGTATCAAGACAAAGGCGCTTCAAGCCAACCTCCTTCCACCTGGAATCCGATGTCCTCCCTGTGGGAGGACATGCAGATCAAGAATAGGGCTCCACAGCCACCTACAAACCCACCTCCAAGACACCAGACTTGGAGGACCATCATCCTTGGACTACGAGAGATTACCTAAGTAAGCAAGTAAGTAAATCGGCATCCATGGGGACTCGTTGATGCTGAATAAATATAGTTTCTGGTTGCTTGATAGTTATTATGAAAAACTAAGCCAAATACGGTACCCCATATTGCGTTGACTTCATATTAATCTTGAAAGGCAGTCATTATAAGCAAACTCAAACAAATAAAGACACACTTATGTAACACAGTGTTACAAAAACAGCTTTGTGAATACAGTAGGAAGTTTTAGTTCAATGGCATTCAGTAAGCTGTTCAGCTTAAGGAACTTCACTAACATAATATTTTTCAACATCAAGTAACTAAGAAACAAAGACTTGAAACGATTACAGTAAAGGTAGAGAGAGTTTACTTGGTCGGCATCCATCAGGGTAATCAGAATCTGATTTCCATTTAAGGTATTATTTCTTCAATTTTTTGTACATTGTACATCTACAATGTTAAATTAACAGTTTGACAGTGCTTAGCTGCCATGGTTCAATGCCATAGAGTTATGGGAGTCGTACTTTTTGAAGTGTTGGAGGAAAATTGGACCGCGAGAAGGTCAAACCGGTCCATCCTCCAGGAAATAAAGTCTGAATGCTCATTGGAGGGAAATAATAATGGAAATAATAATAATAATAATAATAATAATAATACTTTATTTATACCTTGCTACCATCTCCCCAAGGGACTCGGTGCGGCTTACAGGAGGCCAAGCCCACAATACATCAATAGTAAAAGCAATAACAACAGTAATACAAAACAATAAAATAAAACTCATAACAGAAGATAAGCAATAAACATCAACAGTAACACAACAACGTTTAAAAACCTATAGCTGAGCCAAATGTAATAATTAAAATTTTAAAAATAATGCTGAGCATGAACAGGTGAGATATGACTAGGATAGATATTAGAGGCAAAGATGAAGTCTTTTGACCACATCATGAGAAGAAAGGAAAGCTTAGAGAAGACAATGATGTTGGGGAAAATGGAAGGAAAAAGGAAGAGGGGCCAACCAAGGACAAGATGAATGGATGGTATCCTTGAAGTGACTGGCTTGACCTTGATGGAGCTGGGGGTGGCCACGGTCAACAGGGTGCTCTGTCGTGGTCAGGTCCATGAGGTCACAAAGAGTCGGAAGCGACTGAACGAATAAACAACAAATCTTTTGCAAGGTCTTTAGACTTCTCTGCCAAAGAGTTCTGGTGCTTCACCAAACTGCAAATCTCATGATTCGATAACCTTGAGCCATGGCAGTTTTCATTCATTCAACAATGTATATGACCCCTCAGGCAGCCAACTCTACTTTCTTGAGAAGTCTTCCTCCCTCAAATCCAGAATTTGTTTTCCATCTCTGCCATCCCACTTTACAACACAGCAGCCTCAAATATGGAAATAGAGGAGCTACTAAAAGACATTGGAAGGGAAATGTTCAACTAAGAATGTGCAGAGGGTATCACAACAGCCTCTGCTGATTTGAGGGTAAGAACAATGGGCTCACAGAGTCTAGGACAGGCATTCTCAAATTTTGGCCCTCCAGCCGTTTGGGCCTTTATCTCCCAGAATTCCTGACAATTGAACAAACTTGTTAGGGATTCTGGGAGTTGGAGGCTTAAACAGCTGGAGGGCCACAGTTTGAAGATGCCTGGTCTAGGATACATTTTCAATGCAGATGCGACTTCACCCCTCAAAAAAATATTAAGCATGCACCCAAGCTTTGCATATGTACGATTTCATTGCCATTAAGGCAAAGTTTGGAAAACTTAATTTTGAGGATCACAGCTTCTAAAATCTGTCAGCCAGGGGCTAGAATGTCTGGGATTTGTAATCTGAGAAAGGAAAATTTCCAAACTGTACCTTAAGAGTAGGACACAGTGTAGTGTAGAATGGTACAGATTTGAGCACTGGACTAAGGCCTCTTCTCCATTGTCCTTATATCTCAGGATCTGATCCAAGGTTATCTGCTTTTAAATGGATTATATGAGGCTCCACTGCCATATAATCTGTAAAAGGCAAAGGTAAAGACGAAGAGCCGGCATTGTCTATAAACACCTCCAATGTCATGTGGCCAGCATGACTGCATGGAGCACCATTACCTTCCCATCGGAACAGTACCTATTGGTCTACTCACATTTGCATGTTTTCGAACTTCTAGGTTGGCAGAAGCTGGGGCTAACAAGGGGAGCTCATCCAACTCCCTGGATTTGAACTGCCGACCTTTTGGTCAGCAAGTTCAGCAGCTCAGCAGTTTAGCCTGCAGCGCCATCAAGGGCTCCTAATCTAATCCTAATCTAATCCTAATAGACTAGACTAGAATCCTAATCCTAATCCTAATCCTGCTGAGTTGCTGAACTTGCTGACCGAAAGATCGGGGTGAGCTCCTGCTGTTAGGCCCAACTTCTGCCAACTGAGGAGTTTGAAAACATGCAAATGTGTGTTGGTGCCACTTCTGCGGAAAGGCAATGGCGCTCCATGCAGTCATGCTGTAAGCAGGGGCGGCTCAACCCATTACGCAAAGTAAGCATTTGCAGTATAGTTGGTTTTGCCTAGGGGCGCTCTTGAGGAAATAGATCTTGACATATGCGAGTTGTGGTTACTGGGATATATAGTTCACCCACAATCAAAGAGCATTCTGAACTCCACCAATGATGGAACTAAACCAAATATAGCACACAGAACTCCCATGATAAACAGAAAATATACATCAGTGATTGGTTGGGGGGGGGGTGTGTGTGCCAAAATGCTGTTTGCTTACCGTTGAAAATTACCTAGGGCCACCTCTGGCTGTAAGGGACGCCAAATCTGTGCCCCTGTTGAAGGTCTGGTCACGGGAGGTAAACAGGCAAAATGTCCAGTCTCAGGAGTAGATCAAAAGCAAGGTTTATTCCATTATGGCCATAAGGAGACAGATCAGCTGTATTGCACACACAGGTCACAGTACTTGAAAAGGCTGCTGTGCCCAACACCCCTTGACCACATATTATATAGGTTTTTCTTATCTATCAAGATTCTACTGCACATGTTTTCTTGGGCAAATTTCAACCAAATATCTGTTGCTACACAAGTCCCAGCCCAAGCCTCAGCTCGTGTTCAGCAAGCCCTACGTTCATGACTAGCTTATCTATTGCAGAACACACAATTTCTTGGATCATTTCCACCCTGCTGTTGATGTGCCGCTCCTTCTCTGCAGAGACGGGTACATTTCTTCTTATTCTGTTACCAAAGCAAATCTACCATAGGTATCAGCTTCCTTCAATGCCGGCCACATGATCTTGGAGGTGTCTATGGACAACTCCGGCTCTTCAGCTTAGAAATGGAGATGAGTCAGATACTACTGGATTAGTAAAGGTAAAGGTTTCCCCTGACTTAATGCCAGGGGAAACCTTTACCTTCACTAATCCTAATCCTAATATAATCTGGGATAAGCAAATAATTTGGGAACAGATCCTGGGATATAAGGACAGTGTAGAAGAGGTCTAAGGCTCTGGAGACCAGGGTTTGAATCCCCACACCGTCATGGATCCCACTGGATAACTTTGAGCAAGTCCAACTCTCTTGTTCTCAAAGGAATCATAGAATCAAAAGTTGGAAGAGACCTCATGGGCCATCCAGTCCAACCCCCTGCCAAGAAGCAGGAATATTGCATTCAAATCACCCCTGACAGATGGCCATCCAGCCTCTGTTTAAAAGCTTCCAAAGAAGGAGCCTCCACCACACTCTGGGGCAGAGAGTTCCACTGCTGAACGGCTCTCACAGTCAGGAAGTTCTTCCTCATGTTCAGATGGAATCTCCTCTCTTGTAGTTTGAGGCCATTGTTTCTTGTCCTAATCTACATGGAAGCAGTAAACAAGCTTGCTCCCTCCTCCCTGTGGCTTCCTCTCACATATTTATACATGGCTATTATATCTCCTCTCATCCTTCTCTTCTTCAGGCTAAACATGCCCAGCTCCTTAAGCCGCTCCTCATAGGGCTTGTTCTCCATACCCTTGATCATTTTAGTCGCCCTCCTCTGGACACATTCCAGCTTGTCAATATCTCTCTTGAATTGTGGTGCCCAGAATTGGACACAATATTCCAGGTGTGGTCTAACCAAAGCAGAATAGAGGGGTAGCATTACTTCCCTAGAAGGCAATGGCAAACCTCTAAGAAAATCTTGCCAAGAAAAAAACCCCTATGATTCATTTCAGGATCACCACAAGTCAAAAATGACTTGAAGGCTAACAACAACAAACCACCTTAAGACATTGAGAGATTTAAAAATCAAGAGGGATGTGGAAGTCATCCTTACAACAGCAAAACTTTTTTTGTATTCATGCCAGAGCTGAATGAGAGACATTACTGTTTTCTAATTAATTTAATCTGGAGGAACTTCGTCTTTCTTCAATTTGCCACATTTCATACTTCTTTTATGTTTCTATTTTTTCCTGATTTGTTCTGTTACTTGATTACAGCTATGTCCCACTTTTCCTAAACCAATCTGTAGGTGGTATATGTGCTTCTCTTCTTCCCCTTATCCCCAAATGCCTGAGATGTGTGTTAAGAGAAAGTAATTGGTGGAGTTTAATGCTCAGTTCAGGCTTGACTATTGGTTTCCCAAATCCAAAGGTGCATCCATTATAGAATACACAGTTTTACACCACTTTAACTGCCATGGCTTGATGCTATTATATGATGGGAGTTGTAATTGTACAAGGTTTTTAGCCTTCTCTATCAAAGAGTGCTCATGTCCTCACCAAACTACAAATCCTATGATTCCATAGCATTGACAGTTAAAGTGTGTCAACATTCATTAATTCTGCAGTGTAGATGCTAGGGCTGGGCGGTTTCGTTTCGTAATTTGTTGAAAATTCGTTATTTTTTTACGAAGCGATAACGAACCATTCAGGAGCATCTAAAAAACGAAACGAATTTTTCAATTCGTTTCGTAATTGCTTCGTATTCGTTTCGTATTTGTTTCGAAATCGTTTCGTTATTATTTCCGCATGTCTGGGGCAAGTTTTATAGCTGTTGTTTGTTTAATCAGTGAAAAAAAATTATAAATATCACACCAACAGTCAACAACAGAGGGAGAGGGAAGCTTCAGAAGTTCCCCCTGTCCCATATGGAGGTTTTTTAGCGTATTGCGCGGTCGCGTCCGCCATTAACGAATCGATTCGTATTCGTTTCGTATTCGTATTGTTTCGTAATTTATGAAATTTCGTAAATATCGAACTTTTTTAAAGAAAAATTTCGGAATTCTTTTAAATATCGAAACGCAAAAAACCCCAAAAAACGAATCGAGTTTAGAAACAAATTTTTCTGTGGTTGCCCAGCCCTAGTAGATGCATCTGCACAGAAGGTAATTTATTGTATTGAATATATGCTTTTACCATGTTTTTACTTTTGTAGCTATATTTTAATGTTTGGATTGTGTGTTTACATGTCATAAGCTATCTTGGGTCTGCTTGCGGAAAAAGGCGGGGTACAAATATCCTAAAATAAATAAATAAATAAATAAGGTCTGATCATCACATACTTTTCTCAGCTTTAGCCTTTCCTTCTTGCCCATTTTTGAAACAGAGTAGAAAGAAAGTTCTTGCCTTTGTCAAGGAGGGGATGCAACTACCAATATCATTATTTATTTATTTATTTATTTACTATATTTATATACCATCCCTCTCAGCCTGCAGGCAACCCGGGGCAGTTTACAGTCGGTACCAAGACCATAAAATACAATTTTAAACATTAAAATCATATTAAACCATAGCAAAATCAATAAAAAAAGTATCATTAGTGTCTCCCAGTTAAAAACATTGTCCATTCACCTTGTCCAGTCGTTACATTTTCCTATGTCTGTTACACTATATTTGCAAACGCTTGCTCAAACAGCCAAGTCTTGACTTGTTTCCAGAATGTTAAAAGGGAGGGGGCCAATCAGATATCCCTAGCCAAGGGGCCACAACTAAGAAGGCCCTGTCTCTCTTCTTACTTGTGATGAAGGCGGGATCGAGAGCAGGACCTCCCCAAATGATCTTAAAGTCCTGGAAGGTTCATAAGGGGAGATGCGTTCGGACAGGGAAGTTGGGCCAGAACCATTTCATTCCTCTTCACCATCATGAAATGCAAGTGGGAGAGAGTACAAAGTCAGTTTGGGATTGTTCCCAGTGAATAGCTGGAATGGCAGCCTGATCTCACTCTGTGTTGGTTGCCTTACGCTTAAGAGAATCGCAGATTGCCAAAATTAAATGTTCTCACAAGCGTTGAAGCAAACACACATACAATTGTCTCACAGCTTGATCCAGGGTGAAAAAGAAGAGAAAACACAGATGCACCTACTGAGCAGAAGCAATCAAAGCTGCAATCTTATAAACAATGCAGAGTCAATTCAAAAAAATGCTGGGCTTAACTTTTAAAACCCTAAATGGCTTGAAACCAGGTTCTCTAATGGACTAATTTTCACTCATACAATTCTGCCTTTATGTTAAGATCTTGCTCCAGGTATGAACATTAGCCGTTTGAGCACAAAGACTTCTCAGTCGTTGCCCCAAAATTGTAAAAGTGCCATCGTATTGACTTGATTTTGTATAATTAAGGCAATGCTGGAAAGCCTTCTTCCTCAATGTTGCCTTGAAGCTAAAAATGTAAGTGTTTAAACATATTTGTAAACAATTCTGGGCACCACAACTCAAGAAAGATATTGACAATCTGGAATGTGTCCAGATCAGGGCAACTAAATAATAAATAATAACTTTATTTATACTCCTCCCCATCTCTCCGAGGGGACTTAGAGCAGCTTACAAATGTGTAAATAACACAACAATAATCAAAATAAAACAATGATAGTAAAAAATGATCAAAGGTTTGGAAACCAAGTCCAACAGAGAATGATTTAGGAAGCTGGAGATATCTTGCTTGGAGAAAAGAAGGCCGAGAGGAGACAAGATAGCCATGTTTGAATATTTGAAAGGGTGTCAGACTTGTTTTCTGCTGCTCGGGAGTGATGAATTCAAATTTCAGGAATAAAATTCCACCAAAACATTAGTGAAATCGAGCAATTTGAAAGGATTACAGATAGTGAGATTTGGACCGGATAGTGAATACCCAAAGTGTATTCAAATGTGTACTCCCAAATGTTAAGGTCTATTTTCCCCAAACTCCTCCAGTGTTCACATTTCAGCATATTGAGTATTCGTGCCAAGTTTGGTCCAGATCCATCATTGTTTGAGTCCACAATGCTCTCTGGATGTAGGTGAACTACAACTCCAAAAATTCAAGGTCAGTGTCCACCAGATCCTCCCAGTATTTTCTCTTGGTCAAGGGGGTTTTGTCTGCCAAGTTTGGTTCAATTTCATCATTGGTGGTGTTCAGAATGCTCTTTGATTGTAGGTGAACTATAAATCCCAGCCACTACAGCTCCCAAATGACAAAATCAATCCCCCAAACCCACCAGTATTCAAATTTGGGCATATTGGGTATTTGGGATTTGAAAATACATCCTGCATATCAGATATTTACATTACAATTCATAACAGTAGCAAAATTACAGTTACGAAGTAGCAATGAAAATGTTATGGTTGGGGGTCACCACAACGTGAGGAACTGTACTAAGGGGTCGCGGCATTAGAAAGGTTGAGAACCCTCTCACACTGGATATTGCAATAAAAAGAACCTAGCTTTAAAGTTATTGAAAAGTTATTCATGACAGATAATGCACCACAGTGCACATTTATTAAAAGGCGGGGTGGGGGGGGGGGAGAGTCTTGATATATAGTATCCAGGGTGCTGGTAGCTGCTGCTGGGTTCCTCCACTCCTTCTATCATTTGCATCTCCGATCAGCTGGGCTCTGAGCTCCTGCTCTGTGCAGGTCTTCTCTCCATAGTTCCAGCAATTTGTCTTTTTTTAATTTGACCTTGGGGTGGGTCATGC